GTTTTGGATATAGTTGATGGCAAGGATTCTTTTAGTCATCCTCTAGTCAATACATATTCATTGAGGTTTTAGTCTGTACCATCTACTACGTTAAAAGGCACCACATAAAATGGTAAAGGAGATAGAGAAGTTCTACAATATAAATAAGAAAACAAATGTCGTTCTAGTGACTATAATACTTCTTCAGTATTAAATAGTTAACAAATAAAGATTTTTTAAATCTCAAAGGTAAGGGGAGCAAGGAGATTGAAGAGCACACTATACAAAAAGAAAGTTGCATATAGAAAAGCCTGGAGTCAAGAGTGAATGCAGCTCCATGAAAGACCTGAAATAATCATGGTGTATCTGCATATAGATATGCAGTAAAGCTGTAGTGAGGTAAAAGAGTTTGGTAACAGACCACAGAAACAGGTTAATTGTGAATCCAAAACCCTGTTAAATATTTCTTAGTTTATTCGGGCTGCTATAACAAAAATATCGCAAGACTGGGTATCTTATAAACTGTAGAAATGCATTTCTCACAGTTCTGGAGGCTGAAAGTCTAAGTTTCGGGTCAGGTAAAGGCTCTCTTTCCAGTTGCAGAATTCTCGTTGCATCCTGGCATGTAGAAGTTGCTAGACGTAAATCATCCCATTCATAAGGGCCCTGCCTTCATGACTTAGGCACCTATTGAAAATCCAACCTCATAAACTACCTTGGACATTGTCATTTCAATATATGGATGCTGAGGAAACACAGACATTCAAATTGCAAGCATTTTTAAATGTCAAGATCTTCTGTCAAAGAGACCAAGCCCATTTGTGTGAAACCAGCCTACTCATTGTTAGTCACTCACCAAACAGATATTCATTGAATACAGCATGTCCCAATTATTGAGTTATATAACACTGGTAGAAAAAGTTAACAAGAGACATGGGCTAAAAAAGGCCTGTGTATCTGACCTAACAGAATTTACCACCTGGTGATCAGAAAAACTAGAAATTGAAATAAAATTTAATATAAACAGGAATACAAAGCAGGAACACAACCTGCAATCTATTAAGTATCACTGTTTCTAAGAGAATGTGATATTTATCCTGATGCATGAACAATGTGTTAAAGATTTATGGAGATTGACCACAGCCATCAGAACAAGACCCAGTTTTCCCCTCAGTCAGTCTCTCCCATTAGGAAGCTTCCATAAGCCTCTCATCCTTCTCCATCAGAGGGTAGACAGACTGAAAACCACAATCACAGAAAACTAACCAATCTAATTACATGGACCACAGCTCACCTAACTCAATGAAACTATAAGTCATGCTGTGTAGGGACCCATCCAAGATGGGCTGGTCCTGGTGGAGAGTTCTGACAAAATGTGGTCCACCAGAGAAGGGAATGGCAAACCACTTCAGTATTCTTGCCTTGAGAACCCCATGGACAGTATGAAAAGGCAAAAGATAGGACACTGAAAGATGAACACCCCCGGTCAGTAGGTGCCCAATATGCTACTGGAGATCAGTGGAGAAATAACTCCAGAAAGAATGAAGAGATGGAGCCAAATCAAAAACAACACCCAATTGTGGATGTGACTGGTGATGGAAGCAAGGTCTGATGCTGTAAAGAGCAATATGACTTAGGAACCTGAAATGTTAGTTCCAAGAATCAAGGCAAATTGTAAATGGTCAAATAGGAGATGGCAAGAGTGAACATCGACATTTTAGGAATCAGCGAACGAAAATGGACTAGAATGGGAGAACTGAACTAAGACGACCCTTATATCTACTACTGTGGGCAAGAATTCCTTAGAAGAAATCGAGTAGCCATCATAACCAGCAAGAGTCCAAAATGCAGTACTTGCATGCAATCTCAAAAACAACAGAATGATCTCTGCTTGTTTCCAAGGCAAACCATTCAATCAGAGTAATCCAAGTCTTCCCTGACCAGTAATGCTGAAGTTGAATTGTTCTATGAAAACCTACAAGAACTTCTAGAACTAACACCCAAAAAAAGATGTCCTTTTCATTATAGGGGACTGGAATGCAAAAGTAGGAAGTCAAGAAACACCTGAAGTAACAGGCAAATTTGGCCTTGGAGTACAGAATGAAGCAGGGCAAAGGCTAATAGAGTTTTTTCAAGAAAATGCACTGGTCATAGCAAACACCCTCTTCCAACAACACAAGAGAAACTCTGCACATGGACATCACCAGATAGTCAACACTGAAATCAGATTGATTATATTCTTTGCAGACAAAGATGGAGAAGCACTATACAGTCAGCAAAAACAAGACCAAGATAAAGAAATACAAAAAAGCAAAATGGCTGTCTCAGAAGGCCTTACAAATAGCTATGAAAAGAAGGGAAGTGAAAGGCAAAGGATAAAAGGAAAGGTATACCCATTTGAATGTAGATTTCCAAAGAACAGCAAGGAGAGATAAGAAAGTCTTCCTCAGTGATCAGTGCAAAGAAATAGAGGAAAACAATAGAATGGGAAAGCCTGGAAATCTCTTCAAGGGAATTAGAGATACCAAGGGAATATTTCATGCAAAGATGGGCTTAAAAAAGGACAGAAATGGAATGGACCTAATAGAAGCAGAAGATATTAAGAAGAGGTGGCAAGAATACACAGAAGATCTGTACAAAAAAATCATCACAACACAGATAATCACGATGGTGTGATCACTCACCTAGAGCCAGACATCCTGGAATGTGAAGTCAAGTGGGTCCTAGGAAGCATCACTACCAACAAAGCTAGTGGAGGTGATGGAATTCCAGTTGAGATATTTCAAATCCTAAAAAATGATGATGTACAAGTGCTGCACTCAATATACCAGCAAATTTGGAAAACTCAGCAGTGGCCACCGGACTGGAAAAGGTCAGGTTTCATTCCAATCCCAAAGAAAGTCAATGCAAAAGAATCTCAAGCTACCACACAATTGCACTCATCTCACATCCTAGTAAGGTAATGCTCAAAATTCTCCAAGCCAGGCCTCAACAATATGTGAACTGTGAACTTCCAGATGTTCAAACTGGATTTAGAAAAGGCAGGGGAACCAGAGATCAAAATGCCAACATCTGCTGGATCATTGAAAAAGCAAAAGAGTTCCAGAAAAAACATCTGTTTCTGCTTTATTGACTATGCCTATGTCTTTGACTGTGTGGATCACAATAAACTGTGGAAAATTCTGAAAGAGATGGGAATACCAGACCACCTGACCTGCCTCTTGAGAAACCTGTATGCAGGTCAGGAAGCAACAGTTAGAAACGGACATGGGACAACAGACTGGTTCCAAATACAAAAAGGAGTACATCAAGGCTGTATACTGTCCCACTGCTTATTTAACTTATATGCAGAGTACATCATGAGAAATTCTGGGCTGGATGAAGCACAAGCTGGAATCAAGATTGCCAGGAGAAATATCAATAACCTCAGATATGCAGATGACACCACCCTTATGGCAGAAAGTGAAGAAGAATGAGTCTCTTGAAGAAAGTGAAAAAGGAGAGTGAAAAAGTTGGCTAAAGCCAAAGTTCAGAAAGCTAAGATAATGGCATCTGGACCCATCACTTGAAGGCAAATAGGTGGGGGAACCATGGAAACAGTGTCAGACTTAATTTTGGGGGGCTTCAAAATCACTGCAGATTGTGACTGTGACCATAAAATTAAAAGATTTACTCCTTGGAAGGAAAGCTATGACCTACCTAGATAGCATATTAAAAAGCAGAGACATTACTTTACCAACAGAGGTCCATCTAGTCAAGGCTGTGATTTTTCTAGTAGTCATGTATGGATGTGAGAGTTGGACTATTAAAAAAGCTGAGTGCTGAAGAATTGATGCTTTTGAACTGTGGTGTTGGAGAAGATTGTTGAGAGTCCCTTGCGCTGCAAGGAGGTCCAATTAGTCCATCCTAAAGGAAATCAGTCCTTAATATTCATTGGAAGGACTGATGCTGAAGCTGAAACTCCAATACTTTGGCCAACTGATGGGAAGAATGGACTCATTTGAAAAGACCCTGATGCTGGTAAAGATTGAAGGTGGGAAGAGAAGGGGATGACAGAGGATGAGATGGTTGGATGGCATCACCAGCTCAATGGACGTGAGTTTGAGTAAACTCTGGGAGTTGGTGATGGACAGGGAGGCTTTGCATGCTGCAGTCCATGGGCTCAGAAAGAGTTGTCCATGACTGAGTGATTGAAATGAACTGAACTGAACTGATGAACAGTGTATAAAAGTCCAAGGATAGGAGGTCTTTAATGATAGTTAATAGTTTGAAGAGAATGAGCTTGACGTCATTCAAATACCAAAAATAGTAGAGTATCTCACTTAAAGGGAGGTTTGAAGAAGAATGAGACTAGAGTGATAATTAAGTGTCTACAGGATTTGTGTTCCAATTTATGTAGTTAAAATCGAATCTTAGAGGCAATGGGAAAACAGTGAAGTGCTTTCAGAAGATTGGAGATACACTCTAAAATTTTATTTTAGAAAGGATTGCCTAGTTGCTGTGTGGAGAGTGGCGTGCAGGGGAACATGTGCTGAGGCAGAAGATCTGGAAAAGTTTTCTTCATCAAGACAGCCAAGGAGGCTTAGTCTGGTATATGGTGGTGGCAGAGTAGAAATGTCAGAAATTTAGAAGGTAAATGCGACCTACACTAGAATTTAGAGACTGATAAAAGACTATACAAGAGCAAAAGGAAACAAAAATCTAATATTCAGTGTTTGTACAATAACTTAAGCATTTCTACCTCTTTGCTTCTGTTTAAATAAAACATGTATATCTAAATAAAATAATTTACTCCTATAAATATATTCAACAATTTATGCCTGTAATTTGAAGTTCTAGAGATGGAAAAATGTACATAACTTTTGAAACATGATATATCATACTATACTTACAATATGACATTCTTAAGACCCTAATCACCTGGAGAACCCATTCCAGCATTCTGCCTGGAGAATCCCATGGATAGAGGTGACTGGTGGGCTACATTCCGTGGGGTCACAAAGAGTTGGACACAACTGAAGTGACTTAGCATGCCTTCACAAAACTCTAATCACATTTTAAAAAAAAAGAAAGAAAAAGAAATAGTCATTGCTAAGGAGAAGCAAGTGCTGGAGATGTGATATTTGCAGACTAATGAGTTGCTAAAGAGTCAAAATTGCTGAAGCGTCAAATCTAATTATAATGGTAAGTTTTTATTACAATAAATACCAAGGATGTAGTCTTAGCATATAAAACTTCAGGATCTTATACACTACTTTCAAAATCAAGTCACATTCATTAAGTTTGTATTATGGTAAATATACATAAGAACATTTGCCATTTTAACCATTTTTAAGCATGCAATTCAGTGGCATTACTTAAGATGTTATACAACAGTCTTGTGTGCTTGCTTAGTCACTTAGTCGTGTCTGACTCTTTGCAACCCCATGGACAGTAACCTGCCAGGCTCCTCTGTCCATAGGATTTTCCAGGCAAGGATACTGGAATGGGTTGTCATTTCCTTCTCCAGAGGGTGGAAGCTTCCTTGGTAGCTCAGTTGGTAAAGAATCTGTCTGCAGTTCAGGAGACCCGGTTTGGATCCCTGGGTGGGGAAGATCCTCTGGAGAAGGAAATGGCAAACCATTCCAGTATCCTTGCCAGGAAAATCCCATGGACCAAGGAGTCTGGTGGGCTGCAGTCCATGGATCATAAAAGAGTCAGGCACGACTGAGCAACTAACCCTGGGTCACTGGTCTTCAGAGGATCTTCCCAGCCCAAGGACAGAACCCATGTCTCCTGTGTCTCCTGCATTACGGGCAGATTTATTTTTTAAATAATATGATATTTTTTGTTTTAGCTACTTGTACTAGGTATATTTTATTGATATTATTTATAAACAGTAAATTTAATATTCTAATGTATTATGAATTTTGGCATCAAGTTACTCTGCTGCCTATTTTCCTCCCCCTTTTCTTTTATCTATTTAAAATATTCAGGTAATACAGTATTCAGATGGTGCCATAACTGTCTCACCTCAAAGGGCCAGCCCATCTGAATCACCCTATGCCTCTTTGGAAGATATTTAAAAAATAAATAAATAAAGTGTCAATCTGTATTTGTATCAGTGTAACTTCAAGTGCAGCAGGGTTTATTACGTTTAACCACCCTTCCTGGGGTAAATTAGGCTTCTTTTCTTTATTTGCGGTGGGTTCAGAGGACTGGGTGTCTCTGTTAGTTGTACAAGGTCTTTCGTAAAGTATATTTCTCATTAGAACTTTAAACATATCTTTCTAATAAATAGTTGCTCATAGACCTCAAAACTGCAAAGCACTAACAAACCACTACAACTAATTTTCCTCGAGACTGAAAAAAATGATAATGATTATTATTATTATTTTTTTTTTTGCAGCAAGTTAGGTCAGAAAAATGGATTTGGGACCCACTAGTTTTTGTATAACATGTTTGTTATTCAGCCTTATTTGGATAAATTGATACATTGATATTTTTAACATCATAAAGTGTCTTTTGTAATTTTATTCATTTACTAAATTAATAGAGAATAAATTAACTTACAGTTCTTAAATAAATGTAGTAAATGATTTGTAATAACATCTGGTAGACTTCTAACACTAACAGGTTTTTCCTATTTTTGTCTTTTATCTCTATGCTTAGTTAAATTGGCATCCAAGCAAAAACTGAATGGTAAATGTTATCAAGATGCAGATATAAAGCCAATGTTAAAGGTGTGGAATATTATAAAGGAGAAATTTTCAATGATTATATTACTATTTTTCTATTCTGACCATTTTATATTTGCTTCCTTCTAAACAAGTTAATATTTCTATACTATAGATATTCTAGAAATGAGAGCATCTATTTGGCTTGACAAGAACTAATAATGAATCAATATGCTCTCCTTACCTTTATAATTCATTATATAAAATGTCTGTATTTGTTAGATTTATTGAGTTGTAAACTACAGATAAAACTGTATGACAGAATTTCCTATGTATCATAAAATAGAAAAAATTAAATCTTTTTTTCAGTATGTTTGGCCAGTTGCCAAGCTCAAAAATGACACATACATGTGTAGCAGTTTACTTAAGCATATAAGATTTATTCTGGCTGTGGTAAAATAACCCTAAATTGATTTCTAGTGAAAAAATATGGTTTTAATGCAGTTGCTGTGTCTTTACACACATATATGCACACCAGCTATCAGTTTCAGATATATATGTATATATAAAATATCTAATACAACTTATTTATGCTCGTAGATGTATTGCTTTGTGAAGTTTATGATTAAAAAGTGCCTTTCACATAAATTTTCACTACACCAATTCTAACTATAAGTACAGATATCTGAAAGCAGGTAAGTTTACAACATAACATAGTAGCTAAAAGCACATATGCTAGAGACAGACTGGATTTAAATCCCAGTCGAAACATTCTACTACAGTATAACCTTTAGCAAATAATTTAATTTCTCTATTGCCTAATTTCTTCATGTGAAAAATGATAAAAACCATAGTATGTAACTATCTTGATTGCTGTGAGGATTTAATTCTTTAATCAGATACTTAACAATGTCATATCGCTCAGTACATGTTAGTCGTGATTAACATCAAATTCAACATCAAAATTAAAAAAAATAAAAGTAAGCATGTAAATTCTTGTCTTTTAACAAGACCACTACATTATTTTTTGGCTAATATAAAAGTAGTTAATAAATTATGTCATGTCATTTTGGATTTTTAATAATGACAGTTGAGTTCAGTCGCTCAGTTGTGTCCGACTCTTTGTGACCCCATGAACTGCAGCATGCCAGGCCTCCCTGTCCATCACCAACTCCCTGAGTTTACTCAAACTCATGTCCATTGACTCAGTGATGCCATCCAACCATCGCATCCTCTGTCGTCCTCTTCTCCTCCTGCCTTCAGTCTTTCCCAGCATCAGGGTATTTTCAAATAAGTCAGTTCTTTGAATCAGGAGGCCAAAGTATTGGAGTTACAGCTTCAGCATCAGTCCTTCCAACGAAGATTCAGGACTGATTTCCTTTAGGGTGGACTTCAATATTATTAAAATATGTTTCTACATGTTTGTTTTAACTAAGAAATCCATGAGTCCTTTATATCAAAGAGAATGTTCACCACAAATTAATAATTCAAGATAGTTTGTAGTCATTTAGTTTAAGGGATTTAGCCCAAATGCAGCATAAAATTGAGAGAATGGAGGATTTGAACAGTGAGTGCCAAACCTTTAAGTATCTTTCTGAATTAGCTTTGTTATTTAGTTAACATTACAAAGACACAGGGTTTTCAAACTGCACTGATCAAAATAACATCAAAGTTTTAATGGAAATGATTTTTTTATGATTTCTGAGAAGTAGCCCCTAAATAGATATGCCCACATTCTAATCCCTGGAAACTGTGAATATAGCTTTATCTGTTAAAAGAGTGAACTTTGTACATCACTTATGGCAAAATACAAGATTTAATTTAGGGTCTAGAATTAATTTAGGTCTAGGCAGTTTATTCTGAATGATCTAGTTGGGTCCTAAATATAATCACATATATCTATGTAATAAAGAGGCAGAATGAATTTTGAACAGAGGCAGTGTGGCCATGGAGGCAGAGATTTGAATGACATGGTCACAAGAGGATGAACATCTGTGGACACCCGTAGCTGGAAGATTAAAGGTTCCCTTTCAGAGCCTATGGAGGGAGCATGGCCCTGCAGACCCCTTCATTCCAGACTTCTGGCCTCCAGAACTGTGGAAAAACTGTTGTGTTTTAAGGCAACCAGTTTGTAGTAGTTTGTTACAATAGCCTGAGGAAACTGATGCACTGTTCATCTTCAGTAGTGACTGCTGATCACTCTAGAGCTGTTAAATTAGTGTGATTCCAATTGGAATCCAACTTTACGTCTTCATAGAGTTACCCTTTGATGGAAAATATGCATGCAACCATTGCCACTTTTGTTGTATTATTTATATGTAAACTCTACCTTTGCAGTAGGATATCATATTCTAAACTGACAACATTTAATAATACACTTACTATGACATGCATTCTTCTGTTGGACCATTTTGATAGCAAGAAATATTAAGTACTAAAATAACCAAAATTGACAGGGAATTTATTAGAAACATACACATGGATATAGTGAAATGTGGAATCTTTGACATGGATAAGACATCAAGGAAAAAAAAACAACCCTGAATAACCAAATCCTTAAGGAAATTGTAATGCTGGCACTAGAATGCAACTGGAAGAGTGTTCTCCAGCAAGGCCAGTTCTAAAGCCCTATTCCGGGGCTAGCTTATTGCTTTTCTTTTGATTCTTTGTCTCCTCTTTGTTTCTGTTTCAAATTCTGCTACCTCAAACTCACACTCAAATTCTCTCTCTCTCTTTTTCTTAAATTTCACTTTTTGGCTTTACTGCACAGCATGTGGGGTCTTAGTTCCCTGACTAAGGATCAAACCCATACCCCTTACACTGGAAACATGGAATCTTAACCACTGGACAGTCAGAGAAGTACCTTAAATTCTCTTTCAAATGTAATTTTGTTAACAATCAAATTATACTTGATAGTCAAATGATGATTATTTTTTACATGCATAAACCTTAACTAGTCATTACAAATTTTGATCAGCAGTTAATCATTCAGAAAAATTTATTAGTATCTTTGTCTTAACAGCAAATTTGTATATTGCCAGATTATTGAGACCAACTTACTGTGTTTTCTATAAAATAATATTTCCAAAATAAACTGTTGAAAAAAATAGCAATTATATTCTAAGTATGTCCAAAACAAAATATGGTGGTAAGTATAAAACAATATGTGTGGTATCACTTTTTAAAATCTGTCATGATCATTTGAATGAAAAGTGAAAAATAAGAAAAAGTATAAGATACTACATAGTAAGCATATAATTTTTAAAATCTTGAATTTATCATTAGTTAATATAGTGCCTGGCAACTTCCCGATGGGTGGAATTCATTTGTTGTATGGTTTATCTGAAAGACAACAGCTGAAAGTAGATATGATCAAAGTATATGAAATGAAAAATGATAATATGCACACATTTCTTATAAAAGACTCATTCAAAGTAGAGAATGGAAAGTTCACAAATGAGGGGATTATTAATACAAAGTGAAAGTGAAGTCCCTTAGTCGTGTCCGACTCTTTGTGACCCCATGGAC